TTTCGACTACATATACGAGTATAATTAAAAGATTACAAATGAAATAATTTGTAGGAATGGGAATTGGGCATTTATCTTGTGATTGTGGACTTGTTTTACTGCTTTTAATTCTACTGATTAATATTGCACTTTATTCTCATGAAATGACTAATGCGAATGAAATAAATTGACTGCATTAGGAAATGGGATTAAGTATTTATTTTGATGTTTTTAATTCTGCTAATTAATAAATGCTCTTTATTCCCACAAGTAGAATGGATTCATGAATGCGAATGAAATGATTTGAACATTTATTAAGTATTTAAGTTCGTGATTGTAGAGTTTGCTGTTTTTAATTTTATTGCACTTTATTCTCACGAGCAAAATGTAATAATTAATGCGAATGAAATGAAGCCTCCACAATTACCGGAAATGAACTCTTTTGTAGCTCGACGCAAGTCTATCTTTGTCGTAAATGGCCCACCCACCCACCGCTGAGGGCAATAAAAGTGTTGAGGAGGAAAGATAGTGTTTTTGATTAGTTATGGATAATAGGCCAGCAGTCCGGATATCGAGCAAAGAGTTTGGTATCCTGACTAAACAAGTCGGATATTAAAAATCCCCAATTCTAACCTTAAAAACTCCGAATCACTTACGACATATATATACCTAACCGGATACATATCAGGGCTAAAAAACTGGGATGTTTACCCGTTTTTCTTTATTTTGATTAAAATGTCGTTTATTACGTAATTTTTAAGAGGAATTTGGTCTTCTAATAAAAAGAAATTACGTAATAAACGGCACTTCCCTTATAAGATCATATTATCAATGTATGGATTGTTTACTAGGAAAATCGCTGTCTGAAAGCAAGTATTAAATGGTGATTTTCCTGGCAAGCAACCCATATGGGTAATTATTTTTGAACCCGAACCAATTATATATATATGACTTAATGACATTTTCAAAAATAATCCCCCATATATATATGAGTGACGCCAAGGGAAAGGGAGACATTGGTTTATCATTGATTATTTATTTAAGTAATAAATTATAAACCAATGTCACTCATATTATTTGATTACAGTATATAATAATACATCGATCCTTTCTAAGAGGGAGTAGATTGACTTGTTTGTCACTCGATCATACAGACCAAAAAACACAGGATATCACCTCGCTGCTCACCTGATATACAGCTAGTTCCCTGATCTCCAGCTAGTTCTCTAGCATCGTGTTTATTTACTTTATTTCTTCAATTTCTTTGATATCCGAATTGTTCATTCGGGCTACCAAACTTTTACTCGATATCCGGGCTGCTCGCCCGGGCTATCGAAATCCATATCCATAACTAACCGAAAACACCATTCCCTTTCCTCCTCAACTCTTTTCATCACCCTCGGCGGTGAGTGAATGGGCATTTCCGTTATGTATTGATCGCCTATATTAACCCGATTTGTATCTAAAAGGTCTCCTATTTGTGCCGAATATCTGTCAAATTCAGGTTCATATCGGGATCGATTTGCCTTCATTCGTCGATCAGGATAGAAAACTGACAGAATTTAGTATTGTAGTGCTTGTAGTCGATTCCGTATTAGTCGATTTTATCGACTTAGTCAGCTTAGTCAGTCGATTTTCCAAAAAACCGACTTAATCGATTTTATTGTTCTATTCTATTAAAGTAACCAATCAGATTCGATGCATTACCACTCTTAGTACCGTTGGCCACTGTATCAAGAACTCCAATTTTAAATTGAATAGCCGTGGATACTGTGTGAAGAACCGGGTACTATATACCCCCGGGTCTTAATCATGAGGGTATTATTTTGGGGGATATTGTATACAGTGGTCAACGGTACATAGTACTAAGAGTAGGTACCGAAAAATTCCGAAAATGAACGAACATAAAATACGAGCAAGGTCGCGAAAAAATTTGATGAAATCTCCGAGAAATTCCGAAGGTAAAAAATATTAATCGACTTTTATTTAACCGGCTAAACCGAATTTTAAATATCGACTTAGTCAAGTCGATAAATAAGGATCGATTACAAGCATTAAATTTAGTATCGGAATCCAATATATATATATATATATGCCACTAGTTATTTTTTCCCATCACTAATGCTAATTTCGGATTAAGTTCATTATTTTTAGCGAGAATATAACGATAAGCAATGTTGGCTTATAGTTATGATCTTATGACTTGTTATGACTTGCAATATTTACTACTGTAATACGTTATGGCCACCTTGATCATACGATATGACCTAAATGGTCAATAAACCAGGTATATATATATTTATAATAATACATATTGATTATAAAGAAAATTTTTAAGTTTGTCTATAAACAACCCTTATCATAACATGAAAAAAAAAATTTTTTTAGTACTTAACTATTATTATAATTCCAACTATCAAAAGGAATCGCTTATAAAAGTTAAATTTAAGATCGGTTAGCCATGCATAATACTGAAAATAATTTCAACGTAATTTTTAAAAATGAAAACGAGAAAAAATTTTTCTATTTTAAAAAAATTTGTATATGAAACTATATACCTTTAAATGCTTTATCAAAAAAAAAATTATTAACTTATGACTAAAACCTTACTTTAACCTTAATCTAAATTTAAAATTAACTTAATGTAGGCCGATATCGATCACTTTATGCCAAATGATTGACCAAATCTGGTACAGGTTTCTCAACTTTATTTAACACAATAACTTCTAATGTTTATTTAGAATGTAACTACCGAGAAAGTCAACAATTTATCTTTCAATTAATTCTACAGATACTGTATCGCTCTTATATATCTCATGGAATATACTCATTTATCTATTGTAACCCGTGATCTATCAAATCCAGATAGAATGATTTTATATAGAAATATGTCATTGGTGTCATCTCGCACTTATCAGTACGGGGTGCTTAATTGTTACATGACTAATGATATGTAAATCACAACGGAAGGCAATAATTATCTAAGTTAAAATATGTGCTGATTAGCACTCCAGATCTCTAATTTTATACAATTCTGATCGTATGACGCTGACATTCGAATATCACACCATAATACCCATACTTATATACCCTATATTTTTTGCCTTATATAAAGCCATAAAATTCTCAATTTGAACTAGTGATGTAAGATGAGTTCATCACAGTTAACACTAATAAAGTCATCTTAACATTTTAAATCGAGCTTAACCTTAATCTGTCGGCTAAAAAAACCTACAAATTAACTGGTACATACGTATGCATGTATGACATACGTACGTAAGTACAGTTATCTGTTGAGTACGTGAGTACGTAAGTCTTCTTCAGTTTTCTGATAGTGCAACTTTGCAACTTAATTTAATCTCGGATTAATACAACTCTCCTTATGGCAAAAATTTCCATATATATACAGTACATAATAATGATCGACAGTGAGATGGAAAATGATACGTATTACGTATACGTAATAATGCAATATGCCTGTTAATTGTCTATTGCAATATAATAATCAACATTTACTTTTATTGGCTAGTTTAGCCAGGTAAAAAGAACATTGGCTAGGCTGCTAACAACACTTTCCCCAAAAATTTGGCGTTTATCGGTATTTTCTCTTTTCAAATTGTCTTGGTACTCGTTTTTAGGATTGATTTATTATCATGTGATCTTTAACCGCATTAACTAGCCAACCGTATTAATATTGGCTGCAAGTCTATTATTGATATTACTATATTTGTAAATAGTGAATACACCAAAGACGTTAAAACTTCGCAACGTCTAAAATAAAATACGTAGATTGATAGATTTCATCAAAAAACTAAAATTACTTTTTCTTTATTTTGTAAATAATATTTTTTATTGAGTAGATCTTTAAAAAAGAACAACGATTACAAGGCATTGAATACGTAACGGATTTATCCGGTTACTTAAGACGTTAGTCTCCTGAATTATATATTATTCGGCAACTAAGTAGTTCCTGCCCGAAAATTAATTTATTTGACAGACAAATAATAGCTGCCGGATAAATTGAATTTCTAATCTGTCTGATTGCTTTGTTCATTTTTTACTACGGTCCTGGAACATAAATGCTTGCTGCGTTCTCGTTTTTGTAAAAAATACTGTATTAGTAATTCAAAATATATGTACGTACGTATAATTTTTCATATACGTATGATATTAACTAAAAAAAAATTAAGCCAGTTAAGTAATTTACCATATGGATATTTGAATTTAATTTATATACATTACGTAAAACATCATTACTTTTCAAAATTACTCATTCGTTTGAAATATTACCCGAAACCTTTGTTAAAAAATTCCAAATATATTAGCTGATTACCGATATACGAATGGTGACGGCTAAATTTTTTCCGAGCACATAATAAATGCAAAATATTTTTGCAAATCAAAGCAAATTGAAATATTCATTACAAATAATAAATTTGTATTACGGTAGAAGAAATAGAAAAAAGTAGAACATTTTCCTGCCTTACTAATTATTTTTTTGGTTGAATGGAAATGTTAGTTATTACTACATTATATTTCAAAAATGTTAAAATCACTTACCAGTTATAGCACAATGTATTTGCAACACAAACACGAATCCATGAAAAAAAGTCAGATTAGACTTTTTCAGATTAAATAAATTGATTGGCGTACTAAAATTTGTAAAAAAATATATAAAGTCGTAAATTTTTTTTTCGGTTGGGTTAGCGTTGCAATAACGTGTTTTATGGATTTATGCTCTTTTTTTATGCTATTTTTAAGATTAAAATTTGATTATAACTGATAAAAATAAAAATTACTATAATTACTATAATTTATATATAAATAATTTATTGTATATTCATTGCAACGAATATCAACCCAAAAAAAAAGAAGATTTTTTCTTTTTCAATTGGAATTTTACAATAATGGTATTCGGTAAATCGAATCCTCCTCCTCCTCCTCCTCATCCAAATATTGAGATCCCTGAAGCCAATGCCAATTTATTTTCTGTGGTTACATTTTGGTGGGCTAATAGTATAATGAGCTTAGGTTATAAACGTCCTTTGGAAAAAGAAGATCTATACATGCTGAATGACGCGAGAACTTCTAAAATTCTTACCGATAAATTCGAAGTAGAATGGAAAAAAGAAACTCAAAAAGTTTCCTTGGGAAAAAAACCATCTTTAGTAAAAGCTTTATATAGAGTCTTAGGGACTAAATTTTTCTTGGCAGGCGTTTGTAGAATTGTTAGTGATGTAATAGCAGTTCTTTCGCCTTTAATTTTAAAGGTATTGTTTCACGTACGCTTGTATTTCCACGTGATTAATTATGACGCGTCTCGATAAAATTAATCTTTCTTAATATTCTTTTTTATACTGTAGTTAATATTGAATTTTGTCACTGAAGCGTATACTTCAAACTTTGTTAATGGCTCGCAACCACCTGCTTATGTTGGCTATTTATTAGCCGTCTCCATGTTCTTAATGCAAATGTGTGTTACCATATTACAAAACTTATATTTTTATTTTGCAATGGAAACCGGTGTCCTCTCTCGCTCTATTCTTATAACTGCAATCTATCGAAAAGCTTTAGTAATAAGTGGAAAAGCTAGAAGTTTATTTACTAATGGAAAGATTACTAATTTAATGTCTACTGATACTACACGTATAGACTTTGTATGTGGTTACTTTCACATAATGTGGGCTGCTCCTATTCAAATTTGTATAGCATTAGGTTTATTAATAGTAAATATTGGTCCATCTGCATTAGCTGGTTTTGCTTTATTAGTATTAGTAGGTCCCTTGCAAGGAAAGGTTATGTCATTATTAGCACGTATCAGAGTTAAAGCTGCTGCTGTTACCGATGAAAGGGTAAAATTAACTCAAGAAATTTTAATGGGAATTAGAGTTATTAAATATTACGCTTGGGAAGAGAGTTTCGCTGATGCTCTTCATAAATTAAGAAATAGAGAAGTCAGTTTGGTTAGATTCTTGTTAATTATTAGAGCTGCTATTAGTGGTGTTTCTTTGGTAAATTTTCTTTTATTTTTTGATTATATTATAACTACTTTATTTTTATTTTATTTATTTTTAATTATTTATACTCAATTCTTTTTTAGGTCGTTCCAGTATTCGCTAGTATCTTAGCATTTATAACATTTTCATTAACTGGAGGCGAACTCACCGCTGGAATAGTATTCTCTTCTTTGGCATTATTCAACATTCTTCGATTACCTTTAATGTTTATACCAATGGTGATAGCTTCTGTTACTGACGCTTATGTATCAGTTAATCGAATAAATGAATTTTTACAATCTGATGAATTATCAGTATTACCAGAAATCGATCCTAACGAACAATATGCTATTAAAGTTACTGATGGTGAATTTATTTGGGAAAGTGCTCCACCAGAAGAAATTGTTAATAAATCAAAAAAGAAAAAGAAAAAAGAAAAAAAATCTAAAAAAAATCTTAAAAAAAAGGATAAAAATGAAAATGATTCTTCAAATAACGTTGCTAATGAAAAAGCTCCTGAGGATACTTCTGATACTTCTACAGCTTTAACTCCTGCTGATTCGGCTGAAAATCTTGAAAATTCTAAACCATTTACTCCAAAATCTCAACTTCGTAATGTTAATGTTTTAATACCTCGTGGAAAGTTGATTGCCGTTATTGGTTCCGTAGGGTCTGGAAAATCTTCTCTATTATCAGCTCTGGTTGGTGAAATGAAAAGAATTAAAGGAGAAGTCGTATTTGGTGGAAATGTTGGTTATTGTCCTCAATCTGCGTGGATTCAAAATGCCACACTCAGGGATAATATTATTTTTGGATTACCTTTTGATGAAGAAAAGTATCGACAAGTGGTTAAAGATTGTTGTTTAGAACCGGATTTGAAAGTTTTACCTGCTGGTGACATGACCGAAATTGGTGAGAAAGGAATTAATTTATCCGGAGGGTATGTTATCGTTTTTATTAATTATATACATATATATATATATTTTATATTTCAATAAATATTTTTTTTTTAAAAAAATAACATTATTTTCTTTTATTTTTTGATTCTTTAGACAAAAACAACGTGTTAACATCGCAAGATCTGTGTATTATGATGCTGATATTGTGTTATTAGATGATCCATTATCGGCAGTCGACGCACACGTTGGAAAGTATTTATTCACACAATGTATTCAAGGTGCACTTGCCAACAAAACGCGTATACTTGTTACGCATCATTTACATTATCTACCGCATGTCGATTATATAATATGTATGGAAGAAGGTGAAATAGCTGAACAAGGAACTTACGAGGAATTAATGAAAGAAGGAAAGGCTTTTTCCAAATTGATTGCTGAATATGGTGAAGCCGAAAGTGAAAGTGATGATGAAATGAATAAAGATGAGGAAAAAGTATCAGACGAAAAAGAAAATAATAAAGATCAAAATATTGTTTTGTCTAAAGGGTTAATGTCAACGGAGGAACAATACAGAGGAGCAGTGAATAAAGATGTATATTTGGCATATATTAGAAATGCGGGAGGAATGTTATTGATACCTTTTGTTATTTTCTTGCTTATTATGATGCAAGTAACAAATATTGGAAATAATCTGTGGCTTTCGTACTGGTCCAGCAATACGTTTAACCTTTCATTAGGGATTTATATTGGTGTTTATTGCGCATGGGGAGCTGCTCAAGGAATTTTTAGCGTTATTTGTGGTATCGTATTTTCTTATAGTGGTGTCGGTTCAGCTAAAAAATTACATAATAACGCAATTAAACGTGTATTAAGAGCACCAACAAGTTTTTTTGATACCACTCCTTTAGGAAGAATTATTAATCGATTCAGTAAAGACGTCGACACATGTGACTCATTACTTTCTGAATCATATCGAATGTTTTTAATGACCTTTTCAAGCGTTATTGGAACTTTTGTTTTAATCGTAATAGTATTTGTGTGGTTCCTTATCCCATTGGTTCCTTTGCTCGTACTTTATTATTTTGCGGCTCTTTATTATCGGTCGACTAATCGTGAGTTAAAACGTCTTGATTCAGTATTAAGATCCTCACTATACGCTCATTTTTCCGAGACACTTACGGGATTACCGACTATTCGCGCTTATCGTGAACAAACAAGATTTTTGAGAAATAACGAGACGTACTTAGATATCGAAAATAGAGCATACTTTCTCACTATTTGTGTTCAACGATGGCTCTCAGTGCGCCTTGAAACCATTGCAAATTTATTAGTATTTTTTGCAAGTTTATTTTCAATAATTTTTAGATTCACTGTCGTACCTTCAATCACTGGATTAGTATTGTCTTATGCACTTCAAGTTACTGGAACTTTTAATTGGTGTGTTAGACAAGTTGCCGAAGTGGAAGCAAATATGAATTCAGTGGAACGTTTAGTTCACTACAGTGATAGTTTAGAAGTAGAAGCCGAGAATATAATACCAGACAAAAGACCACCATCTGGATGGCCATCTCGCGGAGAACTTCACGTTAAAAATTTGGAAATTAAATATGGACCTGATAGTCCTCTAGTTTTGAAAGGTGTCTCAATTGATATTATGGCAGCTGAAAAAGTTGGAATTGTTGGTCGAACTGGATGTGGAAAATCAACGTTGGCAACATCATTCTTTAGATTTGTTGAACCAACTTCTGGAAGTATTGTAATTGACGATGTTGATATCAGTACTATTGGATTAAGAGATCTTAGACGTAATATTACTATAATACCTCAGGATCCCGTACTATTTAATGGTACTATAAGGAGCAATTTGGACCCATTCAACGAGCATACCGATCTCGATTTATGGAACGCACTTCGTCGCGTACACTTAGTTAAAAATTCAGATCCTACTTCAGAAAAAGAAGACTCAGAAAAATCAGAAATTATCCTTACTGTTTCTGACCAGACAAATAACAAACAAGAACCAATAACACTTGAATCACCTGTCAAAGAAAATGGATCAAATTTTTCTCAAGGTCAACAACAACTGATTGCAATGGCTCGAGCATTAGTTCGTCATTCAAAATTGATAATAATGGATGAAGCTACTGCGAGTATAGATTTTAGAACTGATCACCTAATACAAACTACAATTAGGAAAGAGTTTGAAGATAGTACTGTAATCACTATTGCACATAGGTTACGAACTGTTGCAGATTATGATAGAATTCTGGTTATGGGTATGTGTATTATAAAAAAAATTTTTTTAATGATTTTTTGAAATATTTTTGAAATATTGTATGTATTAATTTCTTTTTTTCTAAAATTAGATGCTGGAGAAGTAGCCGAATTCGATGCTCCATACTTACTGATGCAAAAACCCGATGGGTTGTTTAGAGGAATGTGTGAAAGAAGTGGTGAATTTGCAGAATTAATGGAAATTGCTAAACAGAAATATGAGAGTGTGCAGTCGACACATTGATGCATTTACTAATATATATACAAATATATATATACTGTGTATATAGAATTTATATATATGAAAAAAATAATTTAGATTTACTAAAATGCATTATAGGTGTTGAACACTTAACTAAAAAAAAAAAAAAAAAAAATAACAGACTAAAGAGTTAGTACTTGGCGCTTTAAGTAAAAATACTTAGTGCTCTAAAATCTTTTTCCTAACTTTTAATTCTAATAATAATTATAATTACAATTATACATAATGTTGAACACCATAGATGCATTTGAATTTTTTTATTAATGTAAATTTAATAAAATAAACTGTATATTATAGTAAGTTAGTAAATTAGTAAAGTTTAATATTAAAAGATTTCAATGAACTATATTAGAGTAGGCAAAATTAGCAAATAGAATACTAAATATCAACTCTAAATACTGTAATAATTTGTATTGTTGAAAACAAAAAAAAAAACTTTTTATTTATTAAATTATTATGATTTGAAAGTAAAAAAAAAAACGTATTGTCGCCAGATAACGGGCATGGGG